AAAAATTGGCTTGGGTCACTTTCCTCTTGCAGTTCACTAAAATACAGATAATAGGGGAAATGGAGTGGATGCTGGTATTCTCAGGTGAGAAAAATTATTTTAGGATTAGTTAAGTTAGAAAGATTGGGCGCTTAAGAAATATTAAGCAGGCTAAAGCAATTAGATTGTGATAGTAAATGATGTTAATTAGCTCTCCATAAAAGAGTTCCATAACTGTGAAAGCCAAGTTCCCACCTGAAGCAGAGACTTTGTACCTACCAAAATAGCACAAAGCTTCCGTTAGTGTATGACAATTGTCGTTTAAGTAAAATGGTAAGTGAACATCTATATTTTACAAGGCTGCTTATTATCATCATCATTTTTCTCTCCCTGGGATGACATCTAGTATGGAGAGAGGGAATCCTGCTGAAGGCCTAGGTCAAGCTGCAGGAATTATGCACTGCTCTGCAGAAAAGAACTGTACTTTCTGCTTTTATTGACAACTTGAAGTAAAAGGTTCTGCCTTTGCAGACAGCACAGTAATGTTTTTGATGTAAGACTGAAAAACAATCCTGTGACAGGCAGCCACATGAACAGCAACTAATATGCAATATTTTGTGTCCCTGAGATTGTTCTAACTAAAAGAGCTAAAAACTTGTCATGGTTTTATGATTTTTGCTGTTGACATTCCGTATTGTAACATCATGCAAAGCTCAGGGAATTAAAGAGTTAATGTTCCAGTTCCATGGACTGATGACTTTCCTTGATGCCTGGTTCTCAGAAGAGAAGAACTGCATACCCCAGAGGACTTTGTGTTCAGAGGGGAAGATAAGATCCGCAAGTCACAGGACTCTTTCGCTGCCTGGCAGTGTGTGGGTGTGCTCCCCAGCCACTTTGCCTTCAATTCAGAGTAAGGCTCTGCAAACGCTTTAAAGGAAACAGGGGACCTTCAAGCCTTATGTTTGTCAAGATTGTATGTACTGTGATGGTGTAAAATGGTAAATGCTAATCTGAAGATTACTGACTTCTGTAGAAGGCATAACATTGGACTAATCAGACCTTGGATTTGATCCAGCATCTATCCCTGTCTTCTTGTGGTTTTCCGTAAGGATCTATTATGAAAATAAACTCTCCTCTCCACATGGAGGAGTGATAGTTGGGAGTTTTCAAGGAGTTATTTTCTGTTGTCAAGTGCAGCTAACATGCCTCTTGACTACTGTTTGGAAAGATGGTGAGAGGTTTTAGCAGACCACTGATCGTCCATCCTCTGTTTGTTCTACTAGTTTCACTGTGTGGAAACAAAGTACTTCATTTTGAGGCTTTCTCAGTTCCAGCAAAGTGCTCTACTAGAGAGTTTAAGATTGTTTAAGATGCAAGTTTTTGGTAGCAGAGCATCTGCAGGGGTGACCTCTGTGAGAAGTGGCTGCCCCATTCTGGGAACAACCAGCTCTAGTTGGTTCCAAAATAGTCCCATAGCAAGACAGTTTGTTTCCAAATACCTGAACCTGTAAATAAGGTTCAAATGAACTGATGAGAAATTAATTTATCTTAGCCAAGTCTGGTTTGCCCACAGCAGTAATTGATAAGTGATGTCCTTGTTTTAATCTGGACCTGGGAACTTTCTCACTCCTGCTCTTTCTGTTCCCTCACTCCACCCTGCTCTCCTGCTGGGAAAGGAGCAAGTAGCTGGTTGGGAGTTTGGTTGCTACCTGGGGCCAGCACACCACAAATACCAGAAGCGTTAACACTACCTAGAGTTTAATTTTACTTGCTAGCAAGTATAGGGCCATGAGTGAATGCATGTTAGCCACATCTGCATTGTTAGTGTTGCTAAGCATGCTTTCTGTCCAGGCAATGATATGGAAACTGCGTTTGGAGCTGCAGGTGGGGAAAAGTTTTATGATTCTGAAATTAGCCTGAAACAAAACATACTGTCTTTACCTGAAATGATAACAGAACAAGCAGTTGGAAATTTCACTTGGCTAAGGTAGGATGGAAGCTTTACCCTCAGCTTCTTAAGAGGTCCTATACTTGCTTGTCATAGAGTAGGCAGTGATAACATAGTGAGCCATGCTGCTGGTGTGCTTGTGGATGTAACTTTGGTAAGTGTGTTTAGATACACTTCCCTACTCTGTGCAAAATGTTGATTTATATGCAGAGGAGCTTTGTGTGGGGAATGTGGTACAAAACAATATGCATAGAAGTTGATTATTTGTTCTGTATTCTTGGTTTACCTTCAAGAACAGTATTTTTTCATTTTGTTTTGTAAGCATTCTTTCAATATATTTTTTTCTGATCAAAATAAAACATCATGAACTGTTGACCATTTTCCTGTGGGCAACCTGTGGGTGAGCATCTATCTATTTAATGTATGCAGATACAGTAAGACATTTGAGGTTGTTTTTTTTTTTGTGACACAGTAGGTAAGGAAAAGACATCCACTCCACCTCTTGGATGACTGCATTTGTTCAATTTCATATGATGTGTTAACGTTATAAAAAAGTGAATCACTCTACATTGTGTGTGTTGATTTTTTTTAATGATTCTGCAACAAATCACTTAAAGATTGATTGTAACCAGTTTGGCCATTTTGGTCTTGTCTCTTTATTCAGTGGTTTGGTGAATTCATGGCATAACCATTAGAAAGGAGGGAATTCTAGAGTACTTCAGTATTTGATTACTTTCATTGGTGAAAGAAAAGAAAAAAAAAAGTTGGAACATTGCCGTGTTTTTTTGCTTTACAAAAACATTTAGGATTTTATAATCCATCCTTAGCCCAGGGAGATTGGCCACAGTATGGAAAAATTCAAACTTAATGTCTTGAGAATGGGAGATAGTTGGATGCTGATGTTATTCAGTTGAGCATGTACAGTTTTTATGATCCAGTAGCAGTTTGACTTTGCATACTGGATTAACAAATACTAATGCTTTCTTCGTAACTTGTAAACTAATTCAAGATGTACATAGGGTAAATAAAAGTCATTTAGGGACTCCCACTTAAACAGATCAACTTAAATTTGAGTCCTCACTCTTTTACGTAATAAAAATTGCTGTTGTTCTTCATAACATTAGATGTTACAGATTTTCTCCTAAATCCTGTTGTGTTAAACTATTTTGTCTTAGGAAGTTAGTATGTCCCAGTAAAGTCAGTTCTTGTGTGATTAAAAAGTTTAAATTAGTCTTCTGCAAATTGAGTTTAATGGTCTTTATGGTTGTCTTTGTTCTTATAGAACTTGAACCTAAGATGAAAAAGGTGAAACACGGGGGAAAAATGTTGAAATTATTCAGAAGAGGATAATAAAAGATATATGTATGCATACTTGTAATTTAAAATTGTCACCAATCAGCACTTCATCATTCATCAACATGGGAAGGTAGGGAAAGAAATCAATGCAGGTGCTACCCGTTCTGTCATTTCACATCAGCTTAGCAAAGGGGACTTATTAGAGAATTACTCAAAATTAGTTTTAGTGGATCTTTTTCCAAATCACATAATTGCTCTTCATCATACTGTATTAACTATTTAATGTCCTTTATTGTTCTGTGTGATGAGCATCATCAACATCTGTTTGAAATTTTCTTTCTTGTTTAAGAAAAACAGTCATTTTCTAATGTATTCTCAAAATAAAAGGGTTGCATCCTGATGATAAAAACAACTGTAGCGGAGCTTTTCAAAAGTGTTCTGAATGTAATCAGCACAGAAATCTGAGATAATCAGTCAAGCGAAAATTTTTTACAATGTTTTATCCGAGAAATTTCAACATGTATGATTAAGTTACATATGTGGATAGAGAAAGGACGAGGTGAAACAAAGCTATTTAATTACGGAAAGATTGATTCCTAACAAGAATTATTTCTGCCAGACAACAACTGCATTTTGAATATTGAGGTAGTAGTCTAACTATTGCTACAGCTTGGTGATGGCTTGAATCATCTCAGGTCTTCTGGCAAATTTGTGAAATGAGGAGGCTAAGCATGTGTGCCTGAATGAAGTTTTTTCCAAATAATGCTACAAGTTTCATCTATATGCTTTAAAAGAGCAAATTTCCAAATTACCTTCAAGGAGGGAAGCTTTGTGTTGTGTCAGTGCTGGCCAATGTAGAAAGAACATGCCAAACCATCTAAAATTATCTAAAATAAACACCAGGAGAGAGCCTGATCATCTCGTCCTTCTAGAAGATCTTTTGTCTCCATGTGTTTGATCTCTCCTGTTGTCACTACTAATTAGAAACCATCAAACAAAAAAGTGGTATTTGGACTAGTTTCATGTAACTGTAACACATATTTCATATGTTTCATTCATACAAAGATGTATACTATCACTCTTGCACATATTTCTGAGTAACTTTTTAAAGGTGAAAGAGGTCCTATGAAAACAATTTACTGCTATCATCACAAATAATGTTTCCCATGCAATGAAGAAGTTGGAAGGCTCCTGCTTGACACATTTCCCCCAGATTTCAATGGAAAAGAGGTGGGGAGGTGAACTCTATTGGGTGCGAACTGCACACTTACTCCTGTGTGGTTTTCAAGCCCACTTTACCTTCCTGCATTCGTAACAGCAGCTAGACTACATCTAAAAGGTCTGTAGGTGGACAAACTGAAGTTCTGTGATTCTTTTTCTATTACTTGTGTCACTCTGTAATCCCTACATCTTCTACAGAACAGTCCCCCCCCTACACACACACACACACACAAAAAGTGTCTGCACGTGTTGATGAGGGAAAAATAGATTGTAAAATAGCACTGCAAGTGGAAGCTGCTGCTAAGTTAGGGCAGAATTGTTCACTGACATTTCTAATGGAAAGAACTAACCCCTAGATTATTTATTTATGTGCAGCTGCTACAGAATCATTGCACTTTTGTCAATCATTGAATTATTTGATTGTGCCACATCTGCCTTTCTCTTATTTATTTTCATACTTAAGGGACCATTTGTTGTCATTGCTGTAATTGTGAAAATGTTTGAGAAAATCTTTACTGAGATCAATTGCCAGACACCTTGTTTTTCTGTTTTGTAGGTAGTGTCACCACAATCTTGCCTCCAAGGAGAGTGTACACTGTGAGTCCTCCTCCTGAGGGCTACGTTGCAGCTATTCCAGGTACTGATAACACTACAGTTTCTGAAAACTCCGAGGGTAGTGCTGACTCTACAGGTAAGTTTGTCTGCTTGTTGCTGTGATTAATTTTTCTGAAGGAAACATTCTTGCAAGCCTTACCAGGTAGATTTAAATTGCAACAATTAAGTATTTAAAGTGTTGCTGCCAGTGGGTGTCACTGTTTTGCAGTATAAGCAAAATGAGATGGGTTCATTCTTCTAGCTTCATTTCCTTTGTTAGCTTGCAGACCACATTCAGTATTTGGTTATAGCCTTACAGTGCTGTAGACCTTATTGAAATTGGGAAGTCTTCAGCACCTCCCATTTGGGTACCACATGTATATTATGCCCACTTACATCCTGTTGTTCTTAGATGTAATGTTAGATACAGCTCTACTGGTAAGTCTTACTGCTGAAGTTGTGTGGAGTTGGGCAGAGGTTTAACATTCTTTCAGAGTGACCTCTCTCAATTACAGCAGAAATTCACCTGATTGATTGTGATGAAAATAGATACCGTTCCATAGATTTTGAGAGGCTTTCTGATGAGAAACTGTGACCAGGTCACTTTAGAACTTGTCTGCTACAAGAGAAGCAGGGCATGATCTCTAGAGTGGTTTCTGAGTGAGCTTTGTTAAGAAACATGGCAATCCCAGTGAAGTTGCTAGAATTAAATTGATATCATCTGTCTTAGAAGTAAGTGCTAATCTTAGATAAAACAAATCAATTTAGGTTTGTTGTTTTTTTTTTTTCAATTACTGTGTTCCTATGGATATGTTTTTTCTAAATTGTCTATTGCTGTCATTTGCTACTGTATTATTAACAGCAATCTACAGCAAAGGAAATATCCAGGTGAGCCTCCTGAAATAAAACATTTAATAAGTGGTATTTATTAAACTACTGTTTGTTTCAGCCTAGCAACTCTCTAAATTTAAGGAAAACCTGTGATTCAACTTAGAAATATAGAAAGACAACAGTGCCTTGCCTTTTGAAAACAGTACCTAAAGGGGTGAATTTTCAGCTTGAAATGCAGGTCTCTACTCTATTCTGAGCTCCATTCATGACATGACCTGTGGTTAGTGTCCTGGTTCTAACATGTAGGTATGCATCTCACCTTTGGTGGGGAAACATTCCATGAAGAAGCTATGATACATACCTGAATCAGCATATGAGTAGAATTACCAAAATACTGTGGTGGCATTTCAGTAATGTACTTTCTCACTGTGAAATTAAGAGATCTTTTTATTGGAGTGGGGAAGAAATGCCTTTATCAAAGTAAAATAGTAGTACGTCTTGTTGCTACTGAAATTAAGAGATTCGAATGCCCAACTGTATCTTCTGCATTTCCATTTGTTAGATGGGATTCACATTCAATCCCGAGTCTGTTCCTAAACTAACTGACTCACATTTGAATTACATTGTTCTCTTTGGACAGCATTTTGGGTTTCTGTCCTATAGCATTTCAGATTTAAACTGCGGTTTATTCTCATATAGAAGCAGTTTCTCTTCTCTGTACTTCATTATGTTTTCTTACTCTTGGATGTGGTCTTCTTTCAGTCATCAGAAGGACATTCCCCTTCTTTATTTTGCAGATGATAAGTTAAGTCTCACAGTACCTTGCAGGTAAATAGCCCTATCACATTAACTTTTAGGCTACTTCTAAATAGAAGCTGATAGCAGAGCTCTCTCAGTGCACTGGCTGCTGTGCATCCTTACTGAGGTGTTGGTACAGAACTTTGTGGTAGAGTTACTCAGCTACAATTCAAAATCTACAAATAGATGAATACATGGTGATGCATATTATACATTGATATACTGCATAGCAGTAGAACAGACTAGAATTTAGGATTGCATAAATCATGCCTTCTAAGGGTCACATAAGTATTCATCTAGTTTTACAATGGGTAGATTATTGAGCAATGATGTCACTTGTTTTACATTTCATCTTTTTTTTCCCTCTCTTACTTCAGGGGAAAAAAAAAAAAAAAAAAAAAAAAAAAAAGCAAGAACAAAACTTTCCGACTATGATAGCAGAGAGTAGTGTTCTGGTGTTGCTTAGTGACAGTATCAACTGTTTGATGGTGATCTCTTACATCTGATCCCAGTCTCAGTGCTCAGTAAGAGTAGATTTTCAGCTTTAGCCACTGTGTTACAGTTAGCAAATACATCTGGAGTTTTGAGAGGCTTTTATTTTTTGACTGGTTTGCTATTTGACTTTACACGTTATCACAGAATTAAAAAAAAAAATTACATTTAAAGTAATGTGTGGGGCCATTTGCTCTTCGCAAAATAAGATCAGCTGTATTCTTGCCAGGCCAGGAAATCTCCATGTAGAGAAATTTTCTTACCACCCTTTTTACATTTGCATTTGTTTCACTGTCCTTTTATGTATGCTAGATCTTGCTGCAGCTGAAGGCTCTTGTTGGTTCCATCTAAAGATGATTTTAGGCATCAATGCTAATTTTGCAAGGCTGTGGGGGGCGTGGTTAATTTTACATTAATCTAAGCATATATACAAAATTGGGGTGAAGACTGTAATTTCAGGCAATGCTCATAAAGCATGAAAAGAACAATTTCAGCAGTCACATCGTGGATTATTTCATTTTCTGATTTGAGTGTAAAACATAACACACAAAAAAATACATTAAAATGTGATGAGACATGCATAGGAAAGAAAAAAAAAAAAGTATGTTGTTTAACCTCTTCTGTATGTCTGTAGGGATGAAAGCTCAGAGATCTTGCCACTTAAGCACTTATTGCTTTAAGTTGCACCAGTGTAAGTTTAGGTTGGATATCAGGAAACACTTCTTTACGGAAAGGGTTGTTAAGCACTGAAATAGGCTCCACAGGGAGCTGGTTGAGTCACCATCCCTGAATGTGTTTAAAATTCATTTGGATGTGGTGCTCAGGGACATGATTTAGCAGAGGGTTGTTAATTAGGGTAGTATGGTTAGGCTGTGGTTGGACTTGATGATCTTTAAGGTCTTTTCCAACCTGAGTGATTCAATGATTTTGTGATTCTATGATTCTAAGCAATGTTGCCTTTCTCAAAGATGTTGTGTCATCATTAAGTGTGCCATTTAATTCCTGAATTTTCTGTGAAATAATTTTAGAGAAGTAAAACAAAGAAATAATCAGACATGCATTTACTGAGACTAGAAATGTAGTTGAACAAATGTCTAGGGATGAACTCTGAGGTCAAAATCTGTGTGGCTTTCAAATATACAACAAAACCCCTCAGATAGCTAAGTGGATTAGTTAAAATCTGACAATGATAAATGGCAAGAGTACATCTTCAGTTTATGTTCATTCAACTCAGATAAGGTTAAAGCTCTGAGAGGCTGTGCTTTTTTTTTTTTTTTTTTTTTTTAATTTAATTTGTTCAAGTCCACATCCATTTACTACAGATTTCGTGCTGCATCTAGCACCCTGATAGCCATTTTTAGCTTTCACACCCAGACGAAAGGGAAATAAATTCTGCTGAAATTCTAATAAACAGAAAATGACTTTGTTGTTTATTGAGCCTATCTCATTAAAATAATCCAACTGTATTTTGAGATTAAAATTCTTCAGTTGCAGATTTTAGTGGACAAGGCAGAGTGGGCACAAAATAGAACACGTGGGTCTGTCTGAACACGAGGAAGCATTTAAGTAGAGTGTGAGTGATGGAACCCCAGCACAGGCTGCCCAAAGGTAGGGTAGTTTGGAGATTTCCAGAAGCTGCCTGGATGTGGCCCTGGGCACCCGTGTCTGGGTGTCCCTGCTGGAGCAGGGGTTGGACCAGATGGACCCAGAGGTCCCAACCTCTGCCATTCTGTCATTCTGTGAACTTAATTACGTATCAGCACAGATTTATTACATAACTTTTCCCATAAATGAGGAAAACCAAATATGTGTCTATCTAAATTAATATAATAAGATTATCAGGAGGAGTAGATGCATCATGGCGGATACTTGACTGCATTACATTAATCTGTGAAGAAAGGAAATATTCAGTCACTAGAATATGAATTTATATATTACCCTTTTTAAAAAGTTATTTGAAAGTCGAAGTTAATTACAGTCGTACATAAACTTCTTGTTAGCAAATACAAACATATCAAACATATTTGATTCTTCTTTTTATCTAAACTTGTAGCTTATGGTTGGTCTTGTCATAATTAAATGAACCTTGTCAAGAAGTACTAAAAAAGTAGATCTACAGGATTTCAGTGTGACATTTTCTCCATCTATGTCTGTAAGCTGCTTTTAACATTTCAAATACTTTTCCAAATATTTTTTCCTCTTGTGTCAAATAGGTGAATTGCATAAGGGTAAGGGTATGGTTAACTTGTGGTATATGCATAAATGACTTAGTGGAGTTAAATAAAGTTGCTCTTTTGGGTTTGTTTATGTAAGCAGGTGGTAATTAATCTTTAGTAATGAGAAGGAAAATCTAAAACTCTTTTGTCTTCCAATAAAATAATGAAAGTTAAATTTATCCTTGTTCGTAGAGCAATAAATTACACCTAAGCTTTTTTAGGATCTTCCTTGATTTGAATGTTTTGTCGGAATTGAGTCAGTATAATGGTGTGGTCAGATCAATGTTTTGTTGAAGGAATTGAATGGAATATTGAAGAGAAGAAATAAAAAGATATTTATTTTTAATATAATTGCCGTGGTACATATTAATGTATTGCTAACTCTCTTCTAGCTATAGATTTTATACTTTTGATGAAGGCATAAAAATGTGTGATGTCAAGCTATAGATGAGTATCAAAGTCAGTATCCGCGCAGATTGAAACTCTCTAATTTTGATCTCTGATTCAATTCATTTGTTTTTATTATTTGTTTGCTGAGAAATATTTCTTTAGGAGTAGTTCCTTAACAGATACACTATCACTTATCAAAAGATGTTCTCAATAAAAGGAGAATTCAGGAAAGTTTAATTGCGTGTTCATTAACTTAATATTAAGAAATGACTTTGTTTTGTTTATTTTATAAGATTTAGCTCTTGCTAATTATTTGAAGACAGGTAAAAGGCTATATTTTTAATTACAATTAAATGCTAAAAACGTAGCT